GGGCAGGAGCAAGAATTTCAGACTTGAAGACACGGCAAAACTCACACAGCTGGGAAGACGCCAGGAACACAGATAAGCCACGACAACACAAGACAAAGTCACGTTTGCTCCCAACAGCTAATGAAGGGAATCAGGGCTCTTTCCTCCCCCGTAAGCCATGCAACCCACGTTGCTCTCTTCTCTATTCCTCCCTGCGTGCCCTAGATGAAGAAGGGGTGGGCCTGGTTCGTCCTCTGAACTCCCTTTCTCTTGTTCTATCTCTCTCCTGCTCTGCCCAGCCAGACTTTGCCCTTCCCTAGCCTCCTCCACAGCCAACAGAGCCACACTCCCATTCCTTGTCAGCGGTCTGGCTTCCTCCTCGGATTCAGACTCTGATAGGGGCATGACAGCATCGTCTGGCAGAGAACGTAAACTTAGGCTCTATTTTTGATAAGCTGGGATAATCACATCCCCATCGTACATATGAGCATGCCTGAGAGAAAATAGGACACTAGCTTGCTTCAGTAAGAAAGAAATTCAGATAAATGGCTTTGAGGCCTAAGATAGTTAACCCAGGAGCACACAACTTTTTTTTTTTTGTTAAGCAGAAGATATGATAATTGGAGGCTGTATGCCAAAAGGTAGCAAAAACCAGGACACGTATTACATCTAAAGTTAATTAAATGAAATAATTACTAGGCTTGTCCTAGTAATTTAGCTATCCAGGTGAAAGTGCCTTCTGAGCGTGCAGGTGCCTACCCTAGGCAATTCCAGCTGGTCTTAAAGGAACCATGCCAAGCTTTCATCAGTCACTAAAAGAAGCTGATACAGAAGAGATTGTCAAATGTTTTGCACAGTGAATACGATCCCCTTGCCATGTATGAAATAATTTCCCCTTGTCATATTGAAAATGAGCGTGTCACAGCAAGTCGGAGGGCACTTCAGGGACTGTGCTCAAGGATTTAGGGGGCTGCCACAGTTTATGCTCCCCTATTTAAATTGTATCTAAGCAAAACAGAAGGTGAGGGTCTATTGTTAATAAAGGAAGTGTGAAAAACATTAACAGCTTCACTGTGTTTATATTTTGTATCTAGTGCCAAATATCATCACGTATCTCTTTCAATATCTCTTAAACTCATAGATTAGCAGGGTAATACAAGTCATAAGACACCATTTGTAATTTTACATGCTAATCTCTAATTGTCTTGTAACAGCTAAGAAGCAAAATATGCACTGACGTATTATGACTAAGCACAGAGAGCTCTGGGCATTCTGCATTGTTACAGCACCTGTATTATCTAGTCACTTGATACATCACCCTTATAAGGTATATACTATTAAGTGACACAAAACCTCATGATTTTCATGCTCATAAGTGCTAGATGCATTATGTAATAAAGTTGATTACACAAATACTAACATAAGTTATCCAATTACTGAGCACAAATTCCCAGCGTATCTCAGATTGTTTGTTTTTATCCTATACATTTTCCATGATATATATCTATGTATATTCATGCCCAGGCATACAAAATGCTGAACGATTTATAACAAGCAAGAAATGCATGCAAAATTTAAAATAGCACTCCAAATAACAAAACCATTGATTGCTAGTTCTGACCTTGTGTTTTGTTCCATACATTCTGAGACCTTCCTTACAGATCTTAAAACAACGTAGGATTTGGAAGAAAGCTCCAAAACCTTAAATTATATTGTTTTTAATATGTTAATATGGTAACATTTTAAAATTAAAATAAATTAAAATCTTAATAAATTAAACATATTAATTACTACATTAAAAATTAAACAACTTTGTTATTGCTCATGAAGAAAATATGTCATATGGTCATTGCTTCTTAAGTTACTATCAACTGCATCCTATTCTTCTGTACTCAGAAATAAGAGCCACTGAGTTCATTGGAGCATAATCCCACCAAATGAATACCCTGTTTCTCCAACAATACGGCCTCCCCAATAGGAAGTCCCAGCATGTTTTATAGGCATGAAATGAAATTAAGCCCCTCCCCCAATATTAAGGCCTATATTAAAACATGCAAAATGGGGGGCAATGGTGGGGGGGCTTGCCGTTAGGAAGTACTTTTGTTGCACACCCGGATATGGTGCTGCCTGTGTTGACCCACCAACACCGAGGTCAACATTCAAGCCGTCGCTGCCCGCCCGCCCAAAGATGCAAGGGGGGGGAATTAAGTCACCCCCGAAAAGACGGCCTAGCCATTTTTTCAGGGCTCAAAAAAAAAAAAGACCCGGCCTTATTATATGAGAAACACGGTAGTTATATAAAATTAAAAATAGTAGCTGTAATCTAAGTGAGATCTATCATTAAGAATAATTAATAAACACTCTCCCCACACATTGGGTTCCAGAAAAACTATTCAAGTTGTATTCCTCTTCATATTTTTGTTGAATTTCAATAAGAATAACACTTACTAATTTTTTTATCGCATTTGCCTTAACTTATATCCCAGACAGGTAACCGTAATACATCTCCATCTTTGACAAGGTTTATTTTGAAGGGACTGCATTAAGTGGCAAACTATGTAACTTTAATAGATGCTAGTTTACATCAACTTCAGGATTGTTCACTTTCCGCCCCAATTCTCCCTTCTGCAGATAGAGCTCTGGACACAAACAAATGTCTTGGAGGCACAGTCTTATAGAATTCTTCCATATTACAATTCTTAGGCTATGCAGTATGAAACTAACATTTCAGTTCCCTCAACTTTCAATCCATATTTTACAATTGCATCCTGATATACTAGACAAAGTCACTGAACCTTAGTTTTAGAAGGCTCTTGAGTATGTGCAAATCTGTATCTCATTTTAATCCAAGATCAAGCATAACACCAGTACAAACAGTGGAACTTATTTCTGCTGCCCTAATTCTAAAAACATTTATTTGGGAACCAGCATTGTTTTGTTGTAGAAAAGAATAATACATCCTTAAGGAAAAAAACAAAATTAGTATCTGTAACTATATGTCTGCCTGACTATCTCTACGGAGATTCTCAGCCATCCAGGTCATAGTTGTCCCAAAGATGCTTTTTCAAGAGGCAACTGGACTTTCTGGTTTTTCTTTGAAGACATTTTGCTTCAGATCCAAGAAACTAAAGAAGCTGAATAAGTTTCTTGGATGAAAAGCGAAACATCTTCAAACAAAAACAAGAAAGTCCAGTTACCTCTTGAAAAAGCATCTTTGGGTCTGCCTGACAAGTTGTCCCTTTGCTATAAACTGGTTTTAAAAATGAGAAGTTAAAAATTATGCTGCTTTGAAGAATTTAATCACCAGGGTGAAAATGTCAGCATGTCTGTGCCAGTCCAGATACCATACTGGGACTGGATGGTTTTGTCTCTGAGCAATCACATGTTATACTGTAATTATCCAGACCTGCAGGGCTCCAGGACTGATGTTCTGTCCTAACAGCAGTAGAAGTCACATATTTAAGATCTAGCCTCACTTATCTCATACAATATATACTGCTATTGGCATGCTCTCTCATCTTTATTCACCTGTGCTTGCCGACCTTCTAAATTTACTTCCGTCTCTTTTCACATCACATTTTTTTCCATTGAGCTGAGAGATATCCTTTGGACCTCCTTATATTCTCTCATCTCCCACCCAAAATCCAGCCCTGTACCTCTTCTTGGACCATTATTTGATTTCAAGCTGAAGGACTGTAGTATTTTGGCCTGGCATCTTTGAATGATACTTATGAGATGTCTAGAAAAGCTAGAAACTTGCTAACTGGGGATTATGGGACAATCAATCTGCCACATCAGGTGGGGACCAGATGTGGTTCTCCTTCGCTCATGACAATAAAGGAACAAAGTTCATTTTGAATCAGTTTGGGAAAAGGCAGAAATATTTTCCTAAAATACCATTTTATGTCCAAGAGATAGTAATATAACACTAATATACATATAAATACATATCCAGGTCAAAACATTATAAGGAGTATAATGCAGATTATATTTGTTACAAAAGTTACAAAATATTTTAAAACTATAGTAGGCATGGAGAACTACAAGAAGCTTTGAAAGTAACCAGCTAAGAAAAATAAATGTAATCCTACTGAAAGTTTGAGTTTAAAATATTTATTGAAAAAAATGTCCAGTGCAAGTTCTTATTTCATGGGTTTCATTTCATCAGCCAAAAACGGAAAAGACTTTTTTTCCCTTTAATTAACTTTCACAATAGAATTGTCATGCTAGTACAATTCGCAATAAAACCTATCAGCTTTAAAAATCATGGGTGCTCAGGACATACCTAATATAGGAGTAAAACATCTACCAAAATTCTGTAGATCAGAAGAAAGAGCCACTTTAGACCCAATTTGTTCCCAAAGTTGGAAGTCACTTATGTAATCACTAGCATGATTAGTAGCCACAGATAATCTTATTTTTCCATGAATTGTTATCAACCATTTAAAGCCCTCCAGCAGATACTACAGCTGAACTGTGTTGCCTTCAAAACTTCCTCTTGCTTGGTTTCAGTTTTCTCATGGTCAACCGAAGTGATTTCTGTTACTCAACTCCCAGCAAAACATTTTTTAAAAATATCTCTGCTCTCACTTCCATCTCAGCCTCTTTGCTAAGCCCCAAAGCCACACGCACAAAATGCTTGTGTCATTTCTTCATAAGAGAGATTTTCCTGCTTCTTGACAGATTTTGGTAGCTCTATCTTCTTCAGCTATATAGGTGGGATGATTAAACTGCCCCTAAATCCTCTATTTCTCCACCATTCTCCCGAGAAAGAGGACTTTCTCGGGAGAATGGTGATGCCTCTCACGGACTAAACTCCAAGGGAGAAAATCTTTGACTCAAAACTTTATCAAACCAGTCAGCAGTTAGTGCAGGGGTTTCCAAACTTGCCAACTTTTAAGACTTGTGGACTTCAACTCTTAAAGTTGCCAAGTTTGGGGGACCCCTGGGTACAAAATAGATTCCCAGTGCAGGTGATAAAAACCACAATTGTCGTGGTTTGGGACTGTGCAGTAAAGACTCCTTTCAAGCAGAGAACACCTCCCACAACCCCCGTCTGGGAAATGAAGCAAACACTTACCGCCTTGCGCCGGGAAGAGAGCAATCGACTTCCCGCCGGGTCGCTGTCCAGCCAAGACTACGCTGCCTCGTGGAAGAAGCACCTGTCAAACCCTTCCATCCTGGGAGTTTCCCCGCGGCAGGTCTTATCCCCGCCCCTGGCCCCGCCTGCGCGAAGCCCATTGGCTGCCTCCGTTGCTTTTTTTTTTGGAGTGCGTCAGGGATGAGCGATGCTCTGGTACGCGTGATGAGTCGTAGTCTTGTGAAGGGCGAGCGGGTGGGTGGAAACTGCCTGGAAAGACAGCGGCGGTGTCCGGCTCGCTGCTGCGCGGCAGATACCGGGCTGCCCGCGTCGATTATCTGCTGAATTCTTGGCAGGATCTCCTGAGGTGTCATCGCAGCAAAGGCGTGACCCTGAAGCCCCGGTGTCAGCATCAGGGCAACTACGCTACTTCGATTTCTCTCTTCATCCTCAGTTTCGCTTTCAAAAAGCCGGGCGAAATTCCTGCCGATTACCTGCAGAGAATATATAGGAAAGATGAAGTACAAAACGCGTACTTGTTTTTTTCGGTATTTTTTTTTTAAATTGCACAGGTGTTTTTGTGCAGCAAAAACTCCCTGGAAGACAAAAGTTAGTTCACGGATTGATTCCATTTCTGGAAGACTCCTTGGGTTGGGTAGATGCTGAAGTTGTTTGGAAACAAAAGTCTGAACATTAAAAGGAAGGCGGGAGAAAGGAGTATTGTGCAATTTTATCAGAATGGGCATACTGTACATGTATTTCGACTCTTTGTTCTTATTGGAATAATATGTATTTATTAATCACATTTATACGGCCACCCATCTCACACAAAAACGCTGTCAATTATGCAAACTTCTGAAAAAGTCATCACCATTGTTTTTGGGAATTTAAAAAGACTATTTACAAATCAACTGCATATACTAGTTTCTGTTTTAATTTCCTTTTTCTCCCTTTTGCTATGCTCTCTATAATTGTTAATAATTTAACTGTACATCACAAGATGAATATATGTGGTGAAATATTTTTTATTAATACATGGGAGTACTTATATTTGTTAATATGTACATGCTTATTTCTCTTCCCTTTTCTTTTTTGCCTCTTTTTTTGTATGTAAAGTAAAATTTAGAACACTTTATATAAATAGTGTGCCCTGTAATCAGGTCGTCATGAATAGGTATAAGCACATTTTAAAAAGCATTTAAAAATAATATTTTTATTATTAATGGGAAGGAACCACTAAGAGAGATTTGCTGAAACATTTTAAACAAAATGTTTTAAAGTATGTGTGTGTATATATAATATAATAATATATACTTTTATATATAATTTATAACTACATACTTTTATATATAATTTATAACTATATACTTTTATATATAATTTCAGATGCTGCTAACCACAAGATAATGTGCAGTTATGTTTAGACCCAGAAGTAATAAAGGTGAAAAAGAGTGTTGTGTATATTACCTGTAAACATTTTCAAAAGAAGTTGAATGAGGCCAGCTAAATTAAAGCTATTTTCTCCTCAAATTCCATAAGAAACATAATATTTTCTAAAAAAACATAATATCAGGGCCCTAGGCAAGGTTAAATTTTGTTTTTCCTGTAATGCACATCCTTACTTTCCAACATATAATGAATAGTACCATAACAGATCATGTAATGATAAAACATTGATTGCCATATATTGGTTTTCTACTTTTGATAAGTGGAATTAACATTTTTCCACTGAATAATTAACCTTTTAAAATATTCCCTGTTGAGTTATGCATGCTTATACAATTGGGTGGCCTAGTTATTTGGTCTAGTTATTTCCCAATCAACTTACATATCTATGTCCATTTATTTAAATATTATATTCACTAACAAAGTATGAGATTTCTGAGTAAATATACCAAGATTTCTTGTGTACGTGAAGGGATCAGAGTATCTATTTTAGAGTTTTCATAAATTTGTTTTATTCCAGTAAAGGGGTTAGCTAAGGGATCTTTCCAGTTGGCATTTTCTTGCTCATATTTAAGATTTTATTTTTACACAGTAGTTAACATAAATATTGGCAGTTCTGGGAAATGCAGATTTTTTTTCAGTGGTGGCGAAATTCTTCATTTCCTGCAAATGGTATGATGTGTGGTGTGTGTGCTTCTCCTTTCACTTTGGCCTTGAACGGACTTCCCTTTTTCTGTGATTTTGCAAACTTTGAAAAAACAGCACAAGGTACCCATTACAGCTTATAGGTTGAAAATTTTGGTCATGTTGGGTTTCCCCTCTGAATACTTTTATCCTTATACTGAATTTATATAATTCTTCTTTGAAATGTCCAGATGGCAGAAAAGTTGTAACAAATACATTCCAGGCTTGCATCAGAAACTCAATAAAACCCACGGTCCCCATTTAGAAAAATTAGCTTTGCATATGGAATAAAAACACAGACAAAAGAAAGCATAGCTAGGAATAGGTCTTAAAAAGACAAATACTATGTTAAAACAGGAAGAATGCAGAAATTAAAGATAGGGCTATGAAAAAAAATATAAGTGGCAGAGCAGTTCCTTCTGTAAAAGAAGGGCATAAATGGAAACATGGAAAATATCTAAACGGGTAATGGGGGTGGGGTTGACAGGTTAGAGTAATCATGGTTTGCTGCTGATTAAGGAATTAATATATAATAAATGAGACTGCAACCTCAAGTTTAATACTTTACTTGGATCTTACAAAATTTATCATGCTAAGGCTAAGCTATGAATTCCATAATAACCAATTAGTTGTATTCAATGTTCTAATCATAAACCAGGTTTTCAGACAGATTGACAGATTGGCTAGATTGACATGACATGCTAATTAAGTGCAAGCTTGTAGTAGACCTTAAAATCATAGATTTGGAGTAAGAAAAATAGGGTAAGAAAAATAGTCAGTTTGGAACAGGAGACAGGATGATGAATGCCAGGCTTACCCAAAGCAGGCACAAACTGGGGTATAATTCTACAGAGACTTGGGTGAACACAACAAGAAACTAAATTGCCATTCTGAACAGCAGCTACAACAGAAAATTGGCTGTCTCCATTAACCAGGTAGGAAATGTACTTCAGACCCTGTATACTCCAGTGCTTCTCCCTTCTGCTGCAGAGAATACTTACAGAAATAAATAAACAAGCTTATACATTAAATAAATAAAAATAAGAGAAGGCTTATCCTAATGGGGGAAGGCTAAGGAAAAGAGCACAGATGTATTTCATCTGTTGAAGACATAATGTTACATTCTTTATATTTTTTATATATTTGCCAACAATTCCCTTCTGCTAGATCAGATTCTCCTCCCTGATAATAGATCCCTGAAAATAGATCCCTGAAAAGCAGAGGAGATACACCTTGCCAGATAAGAAAATAAGAACAGCTACCATAGTTGGCATTCATTACAATGAGGAGCCAAATAAATATGTATTAATTGGAGGCTTCATTTATGAAGTGTGTTGTATGTCAGGAGCAAGGATCAGGGATGTTACCTAAGATTCCTCTCTTCCTGCTGTCCTAAGTAGGAGCAAATAATATGAAAATGAATAATTACCATTTTATCATTATTTACTTGGAAGATCCAGAAAGGACATTGGAGCACCAAGGGCTCAGATAGACTTCCCATTAATTCAGTTCTAGAAGAGAACTAGAAAGAGAAAGAAGAATAAACACCATTATGTAACTGGCAAGGCAGATGGTATAAATGAGGCTATGGTCTGAGGCTATGGTTATGAGTTAAAAGAGTGAAGGATTGCTGGTTGGAATGAGTTGCATCTCAGAAGGATTGATAAAAATGTGTTTTAACAAAATGTGCTGATATTGCTTACTTCATATAATTATTTGAGATGTAGGAGATCAAATCTTGACATAAGGCCCTCAGATAAAGAGGTAAAGGTAAGGAAAATGGAATGTTTCTATAATGTGGCTTATTAAGCTCAATGAAAAATCACAGGGGAAAATGGCTTGTTAACGCACACAGTGTTTGTTGTTTCCTCACAATATGAGAAAAAAACCAAAATAAGACCAAATTCAAACTATAGGAGGGCAAGTAAAATTACATTGATTGCATGGTTTGTTGATTGGAATAATAAAGAGTAAGGGAATCAATTTCTTCAATCAGAAGACAAGAAATGTTAAGGGAGGAAGTGTCATACAATATGTTAAAAGTATCTACACACTTACTTAGAAATCCAAGTGGAAATCAAATTCCAGTCAGCAGAATATCTTTGCCATGTAAATGTAACTGTTTTCAAGGCTGGCCTACTGTTAGGCAGAGTGAGACTGCTATCTCTGGCTCTAATACCTGGATATGTGCTAGAGGAGGAAGGAGCAAGAGCTCTATTGGTTTATTCGTGGGGGGGGGGGGGGGGAAGAATCCGAGTTTGGTGGTTTGCTTGCAGACGTTTCATTACCTGACTAGGTAACATCTGATGTTGTTACCTAGTCGGGTAATAAAACGTCTGCCAGCAAACCACCAAGTTCAGGGAGTGCCTCGGCCCTGCCTCCCTCAGCCCCATCCCTCAGGTGTCTCCCTCCCTCCCTCAGGTGTCTGCCTCGTTCCTCTCTCAGTCGCTCACTCGCTGCTCCACCAGCCCAGGAAGAAACTGCTTCAAAGAAGCCGGGGGGGGGGGTGGCTTTTCCTGTCGCCACAGCTCCTCCGAAGCGCCCGTTTACCCCCACCCCGCCCGCCCACGCGCGGTTCAACCCAGTGCTCCGTTCTGCCTGCCTGCCTGCCTGCCTTCGTTTCGGAGCAGCTTCGGCTGATAAAAAGAGGCGAATAGTTATTCTCAGCCAAAGCTGCTCCCAAACAACCAGACAGGCAGGCAGGCAGAACGGAGCACTGAATTGAAGCGCGCGGGCGGGGTGGGGGTAAACGGGCGCTTCGGAGGAGCTGCGGCGACAGGAAAAGCCACCACCACCACCCCCGGCTTCTTTGAAGCAGTTTCTTCCTGGGCTGGTGGAGAGCGAGAGAGCGACTGAGAGAGGAACGAGGCGGGAGGAAACCGAAGCTGCTGAGCCAGAGAGCAGGACAGGCTTCAGTTGTTTCCTCCCTCCCCTTCTTTCATT